TATACGTTGCCCAGTGTGCACCACGTGGAGGTAAGTCTTTTGCACACCCCCAATTTGGAACATTATTGTATGTTCTTCAAATTTTAATATCTGTCCCCTGAACTGAGTGAATCGAGCTGAAACTTAAACCTACCAGTTAAGTTGGGTGATTGATCATCCTATACAATTTCTCTTATCATCCTAATAGATAGGATGTCAACAGGGCAATATGAGCCTTTATGGGTTCAATAAAGAAAAGTCCAGTTGATCTAAAGTAAATTGTGATGAAACCTCCACTTCCAGTATGAAAAAAAGAATCCCTCCTTTTCATAATAAAGCAAGTCAAAATACATTGACTTTAACCTAACTATTCTTCGTTCCCAATGGGCATATATATATGTTTTTAATAATTATTTGGAATCTCTAAATGTTTTATGTAATTAATTTTATAAAATAGATGTGTGAACAGAAATAGCTACATTTCTCGACCATATTTATGCATTAGAGCAATGTTGGAGAGCGCTGTGAGTAGGTATTGATTGAGCAGGAAGCAGAATAACCCATATGATTGGCCAGAAGCCCTCTGTCCTCAAACGCCCACCTATGGGGTATGCAGTGCGTACACTGGAGGAAAGAACTTACTAAAATAGCTCAGTATAATCTAAATAAAATAAATTTTTTTCTCTCCTAATATTTATGTTTAGAGTTGATTTTTTCGATTATTTTAACCCTAATATTTCTACTGAGGCTTACACCTTATTTTCAAGAACATAATCAGATTAGCAAGTAGTGACTTGTAGCGGATTGCTACACCAATAAGCCTAGATTATACTCAGTAATCTCTATGACAGATTAGGCTTCCCAAACTACCTAAGCTATAGAGAGAAGAGGCGGATGATGAGGAACACGTTTATTCGGGATGTGACACGCCGGTTCTGAGCATGGGATGGAAGCTTTGTCTTGATCAACATAGCGGTTTAGGTTAAACAAACAGAGGTTAATGTTTGGTCGCTGTTTGTACGGTCGCTGTACGCAGAGTTGTACGGCCGCACCTCCCAATCCTGGCGTGCGGGCATGCGTTGACGCACAAAGCGATCACGTGTCCCACAGACTATAAATTATATCAGAAAAAGGGCAAAATTCAAGGTCCATTCTTAAAAATCATGCGAACTTTCAATGTCAGTCCATCGGTGGTTCGTCACCTCTAAATACTCAAACTGTGAAAACTAAATATCATTTAAGTACTGATTGAATTTTTTGTTATCTACCGGTTTGGTCAAAATAAACATACTTTAGACTATTTCCATCTTGTGATATTTAGTCAGTTGATTAGGCATACCTTTTCCTATCCCATATTTTTATATTACAATTCACCCCTAACAAAAGAGGACATTTTGTGCAATGAGAATACGAATAAATTCGGTTATTGATTATGTCCAATATGAATATACTTAGAGGGTGTCGAAAAGGTGTTAGAAACGAAGCCAAGATATCAAAGAGTTTTGCCTAATTTGATCTTGAATTCGGATTTCATAATTTCATGGAATATTGAGAAAATTCTTGTTCATGATGACAATTGACTTAGTTGAAGGCAGGTTGCTATGAGGTACACTATATTCTCCATTCGAATTCAAAGTTGAGCTTTCAAAAACAAAATTTGAATTGAACAAAGAGTAGAACAGTTGCATCCCTAATAGCCCCACAAAACCCCATTTAGGAGAGCGTCCTTCAAGACTCATCAAGGTGTCGTCTACTTCACTCTTTATAAACTAGACTCAGCCAGTACGATTGGTATTAAGCCAATAACCACTACTTTTTTGTCCATACTAAAAACTAGGCTGATTAATTGTAATGACTGGTAAATATCCTCAAAGTAGATAAGATATTAAAATTTTTTACTGAAAGACAAACATGAATTTTCCCATTTTACAGGTATGCAAGACTACAACTACCTGGAGTCGAATTGTTTTGAGATAACACTTGAACTGGGCTGCAACAAATACCCACCCGCGGAGGAATTGCCAAAGTACTGGGGGGAAAACAGGAAGGCCCTCCTTAACTTTGTAATTCAGGTAAGGCTTTCAATTTCCACTTATGACGATTTCAAATTACATGAACATTTGGTAAATGGCTTCCAGTAGTAACTGTGGAAGAATATTGGTCACCTCTGATTAGTCATCTCTCTGGGTGCTAGTGCACATCAGATCTGATTATGTTAGAATTTATTTCATCTGAATATAATTATATATCAGACTGTCTTCCTCAGTGCTGGCAGTAAATAAATAAATAGATATATAGATAGATAGGTGAACCTCCTCACAGGAACTTCAACTAAGGCAACATCGTATAGGGGGTCCGAATGGCCGAATTCCTAACCCACAAGTGAAGGGAAGCGCGGGCTATTCTTAAAAGATGGAACAAAATGACGGGTAATCATGATAATTGAACTGCCGTCTTTCCCGTGTTTTTTTCAGTGCTTGTTAATTCTGTGGTTGCCTAAACTTGACATTACTGCTCAAATTTCTTGGCATTTCTTTGGTTGCGCTCAAATAAAACTTTTAATTATTATTATTCTTACTCTAGGCCCATTCAGGCATCAAGGGAATGGTGTTTGGTTATCGTGATGACCAAGTCCTTCCGCTCTCTGATGCTCTTATTATGGTGATGAATATCACAGATCGCAAGAAACCAAAAATTATTGACCATCCAATTACGTCAAGTAAGTTATTGTACAGAACCCGCTTTAAATTGGATTAACTAGAAATAACTTAAAGAAATTTATTTATTTTATTTATTTCAAATGGCAGGCGTTTTGATATTTATCATTAGCCCTTTAGCTGACTTCGGACTTCACAGGGGGGAGGAACATCAAAGTAACAGAAAATCGAGGGGTGGGGAACAGAAGAGTGATTTAAAGATGTAAAGAGACAGACATGAAGGCAGAGAAAAGGTAGGATGAGTACTGCGCCAGAAGTCAATCGCCAGTTAATAGACTTTTTTGCCGTATGAGTATACGTTGCCCAGGGTGCACCACGTGGAGGTAAGTCTATCACGCACCCCTAACTTAAAGAAATGATAAAATAAATAAATATTCTGGAAACTTGGTGAGATGATGTAGTCTTCGACTGTGTACAGCTAAAAATTAGCATGATTGAATAGTATAATGCTTAATATATAAAAAAGCAAACGTAGTAAGGCTTGTATGAGGAGCAGGAACAGGTCTCATTAATTCACTTGAGTTGGAAGTTTTCAGCCAAGTTCAAAACGGTTGGGCCTGTCCGAGTAAATGAAATAATAGCTTACATCGTTGAGCTCCCTGGACAAAGTATAGTCAATCGCAAAAAGTCTATAAATCGGCAGTTGATTTTAAACTGCCATGGGCCCCCCCCCCCCCCCCAGTGTATGCCATAATCGACCATTTCACTGTACTCACCTTGCCTCGTTCTTTACCTTTGTATCTGCCTGTCTCTTTTACATCAGTGAATTACTCTTCCCCACTCCCTCTCGACATTTTACGATTTTGATGTTCCTCCCCTCTGTGAAGCCCGACGTTAACGAAAGAGTTAATGATACTTATCATAAAACCTTCCATTTGATATAAATAAATTTTTAGTTACCTTCGAATAATGAATATAATGTATAGCTTCTTCCCTGGAAAGAAATTTCGTTAATATTTCCGCTTTCTCCATCGTACTACTTAAGTTTGTGCCTTTAATCAACGTTTTTGGAATCAACCTTCTGAATATCTTGCTAGTTTTCCTCCATTCTACTGACCACCTAGCTTTACTATGAATAAATGGTAGCTGTAGTGTATTTGATGACATGATAACCTTCAATTCCAAAAGAGAATGACCATTTCGAAATTAATCAAATTTGTGGAATTTCAGCCTCTACAGGAGATTACTTCCGACTACTGACCAGTGGGCGTTACTTCATTGTGGCCATGCACGAGGATTTTATGCCAGCCTTTGCCGTCGCAGACGTTCCATCAGCCCCAGATCTCGACCGTGGAGACCTCCATGAAGCCAAGAGGATCAAGTTCCTCCTCTCCGATAACTCCCCACGACCTTACAATCAAAGGGATAATCTTTCCCTTCCTTATGAGAGCAGCGAAAATCTTCACACTACTTTCTCTCTCAGCAAAGAGGAGGAAGCCTGGTTGCCAGTTTTCGTTCGTCTCTTCCGCAATACTGAGGTCTATATGTCACTCCAGCGTGAGGTACGGATCAATTTTTCTAGGAAGTACTAGTAACTAGTCAGCCGAACTTTTGCCCCCTACCGATTCTACCTGAGGTTATGTCTTCGAGCAATATTTAATAGGAAGAGTAGAAGGTAGTCACCATTAACTGGGTTTGTTAGTAGCTGAGAGATCAAATCAGAAAACAGTGTAGGTATCTGTGGGTGAGCATGAGTGCTGCAGAATGCTGATACATTGGACGCAGAGGGTGTTATATAGTCTACAGAAAGAGCGTACGCGTTTTAGGATTGAAAATAAGCTAATTGAATCAAACTACTTCAGATAGTCAACTAGTTAGATCAATGTGGCACGGTGTGTAGACAGCGACGAGTTTCCAATATTGTTGTAGGTCAGGTTACTTAAACGTGTGTCTCAGGAGAGTCCCAAGTGTCAAACTGAATAGTTCGGGTTGGACTCGCTGAAGTAAATATTAAAGAAATATGAGGGTAACTTTCAATTCCATTGGATCAATAAACAGTTTTTTATTTGCCTACTCCGTCCTTTGACTGCCAACTACTCACTTCCTATTCTCCTTTTCAGATGATGCAGAATTTTGACCTTGGTGATCCATTTGATGACTTCGGTTACTTACTTGAGGATATTTTTTGAATCAACAAGTGCTACACCTGTTGAACGTTGTGCTTTGTCCTGTGGTGATCTCTGCTCCCATCCACTCTCTCCCTCTCTCAGATTGTGTGACTGCTTGACTTGTTGGGAGTGTTGGGTTTAGTTTCTTTCTTTCTCCTCGTGATATTTTTCCACATTGTCTTGTCCTTCAAACACATACCTTGGTCCATTATGAAATTCGGCCTTGTCTTGTGAAAACGGGTATTGAAAGATGAAGCCACCAATGCAACCTAATTAAAATTTCCTACATCGATGACTAATTAGTATTCACTGCCAGAACTCCTGTTTTGACCATTCAATGAGATGTTTTTTCTTCCGGCTGACTTAGACAATAAGAGTGTCGCATTTCAAATTGCCTCACGAATTTACCAAACGCAATAGTGATAAAGGCATCAAATACCAGACTGTCTTCCCCAATGCTGTCCCTAAATAAATAAATAAATAGGGATCTCCCCATAGGAATCACAACTAAGGCAGCAGCAAACTCTTCTGTACTAAGTGATAAGGGGTCAGAATCGCCTTGCCTATCACAAATATAGGCACAGCATGTTTGAATAGTATAATGCTTAATCTTATAAAAAAGGCAGATGTATTAAGGTCTGTACGAGGAGACAAGTTCAAAACGAGTGGGCCTGCCCTAATAAATGAAATAAAAACGTACATGAGATGTTGAGCATCGAAGGTAAATGAAGTAGGGCTAGTGCTTCAGCTAAGGTGAGAGGATNACTAAGGCAGCAGCAAACTCTTCTGTACTAAGTGATAAGGGGTCAGAATCGCCTTGCCTATCACAAATATAGGCACAGCATGTTTGAATAGTATAATGCTTAATATTATAAAAAAGGCAGATGTATTAAGGCCTGTAGGGGGAGCCAAGTTCAAAACAAGTGGGCCTGCCCTAATAAATGAAATAAAAACGTACATGAGATGTTGAGCATCGAAGGTAAATGAAGTAGGGCTAGTGCTTCATCTAAGGTGAGAGGATGAACGTCTCAAATACAAAGCAGTTACTACTCACCAAGAGATCGGTGACTAGGCACATTAGAAAATAAAGCTTTCAAATAGGTAAGATTATAAAACAGGTGAAATGAGGGAAAAGCGAGCTGGACTTCGGATAGAATCGAAATAAGAATATCTCTTTCTTCATAATCCTCAATTAAAAGCCTGACACCTCTTCGAACAAGTATCTTCATTCCGTCTCTTCTCAAGCACAGAGATTGGTCACGTTACTCGATTTCTAAAGATTACCATCTGTCAGCTCAACAAGTAAATCACCTGGGAATACCAACCACCAAGGGACTAGAATGTTTCCACACATCGCCACCCCAACCCAAGATAAACATGGACCAAAGACCAAAACACAAGTCATAGTATATGAATATATATATATATATATATATATATATATA